TTCTAACTTTCAAAATGATATTTATTTATATGATATATAATATTATCATATGAAGCACATTCTGTTCACATTTTTACTTTACTTATTTATGTTTTAAAATCAGGAAATACACTAAATATATATATTGTGTTGAATGTCTCCCTAACGGGAGATTCTATGAAATCTTGATATAATTTAATTATGTTGAAAATGAAGCGAACGATATATCTTCTCCAGAATGCCCTCTTTTTTGCTCCCTCTCTTTCTCTCCCTCTCTCTCTCTGCTACCCTCTTTCTCTTTCTTTGCTCATCTCAAGTTTGATCTAGCTAAAAAAGCTCTACACCTTTGTTCTGCTGAGCTTCCGCTTTACATAATTTTTCTCTCATACTTAACGGTGCATCAAACTCATGTTAAGCTAACATAAAATGTTGATTAAATAAATCTCTTACATATTGATCTATATATACATATATAGGCTAAGCTTTGGCCTGACTAAACCTCGGCTGAAGAGGTTATTACAGTATTACCCTGCATTACATACTCATTTAGTATTAGCTCTATAAAAATCTCCGAGTTTTATTTGATTACAATTTAATGTAAGAGAACAAAAGTAATCAAGTCAACTATTAGCTGAAGTTATTCAATAATTTATCAAATTAAAGTTGGAAAGTTTTGCGTGAGTCTAGTGCAGCGTTAAAAGTTCAGCTACACTGGCAGCACTTGGGCTGGATTGCAAGTCAGTTTAACATTCAGTTGAACATTTAAGCTGCTTTGCAAGTCAGCCTCATTGCAAGTTGAGTTGCAATTGATAAATAAATAATTGCTGTAAAAGTTGCTCGGCAACACAAGCTTTGATTCGGCAATCAATGTGCATAGATAAAAGGCTGAATAGTACAATAGCTAACTAGCTTGGTTAACATCGGCTTGAGCTCCAGTTGTTAAATTTACCATGCACTTGAATGAAATATCATGTGGCATGCTGCTTGCACTCGCTGTCCAGGCATCTCAACAATTCTCTTCTTATTTATGCGTCTGCCTGTCTGACTAGCTGTCTGACTAACTCTCTGTCTCTCTGTCCATCTCTCTCTCTCTCTCTCTCTCTCTCTCTCTCTCGCTCTGTGTGTGTATAAATTTCATTATCTGCAAACGCGCTCGTAAAATTCAATTTCTGTAGCAGCAGCTGGGCATAGCTCAAACTTCACTTCCAGCTTTACTTGGACACATTGGAGTCTTTCGCTCTATCTCTCTCTCTCTCTCTCTCTCTCGCTTTTGTTGTTGTTCTCTTTGCTTTTTGCTTTATCCTATTTTTCCAGCCATATTTTTGTTGCTTTGCATGAATGTGCAAATAAAATTTAATTTAATAGCGAGTTTTATGTCACAAATATTGCGCTTCACTTGACATGGCTTCAGCCCCACAGCCAGACCAGCCTCTGCTCCCTCTCTGATCCACGCCCACTCACCACACACACACATATGGGCCACACTTCGCCCGCTTTTATGACCCTTAAATGGAGTTTGGTGTTTCTTTTTTTGTTGCAATCCGGAACTGCTATTCGATTTGACAAACTCCCCCGTCTCGCTGATAGCCGAAGGGGATTTGGGGAATACGACGAATGACGATGACGCGACGCTGTGCGTATTAACGTGTCAGCGTGAGAGAAGGAGAGAGTTGGAGCTGGACCTGAACAATTGAATGGGTGTGGGTGTGGGTGTGGGTGTGAGTGAGGACAAGCCGCAGTCAAATGCTGGCGGGCAAGCAAAGTGAATCAAATGAATGCATTTTACTGGCATTTTCCCTTTTAAATGCTACTCTAAGCTAGAGGCTTACGGCAGAAATGTATTTACTCTCAAGAGGAACTCAAGAGGCGACAAAGAGCTGGGGTGAGCTGAAGAGAGCTGGACATGAAGACGTGGAGGGGGAAGGCAAGAGTTGCGAAGAAAAGCCAAGCAAGCGAAAACTATGCCAATTGAAAAATAAGCCAAACGAGAAATGCTTTAAAAAAATGTGGAAAACATGAGAGGGAGGAAGGGGGCGACGGCGAAGGGTTTCAGGCAGCCAGGCAAAATGCAATATTGCGATTTTATAACACAAATTGCTTATAATCACCCAAAAGCAACAACAACAACAACAACAACAGCAGCAGCAGCAGCAGGAGCAACTACCATAGCAGCAGCAGCAGCAGCAGCAGTAAAAAGCCAAAACGGAAATGCACGTTGTAATAGCCTGGAAGTGGGCGTTGCCCGTGGGCGTGTGCACTGGGATTGGGACTGGGGGCCATGCATAGCAGCAGCTGCTGCGTTAACTGTGCCACGGGTCGCCATTTTCCATGGGAATGGCATAAAAATCATATTTCCGTTTTATTATTTGCTGTTAATGAAAATGCAAATAAAATTGGATTTTCCGTGCGGGCACAAAAACGCCAGCTAAATAATAATAAAAAAAATAGAAAAAAAAACAGCATACCGAAATGCTGCTCTGCAGTCAAACGGCCTGAGTTGGGCGAGGGGCGGTGGGCGGTGGGCGGATGGGCGTGACGAGGGCCTGGTGAGCAGGCAAAATGCTCCAAATGTATTTCCTGGCGCACATTTCAAATAAACATTTTGGTTATCATCGTTTTCAGCCACCCACGCCTCCCTCTCTCGCCCCTCTCCCACCCTCCCACTCACCCTCGCTTGTTCGCTCTCGTTAAAAGCAAAAATTTAAAGCGAATACTTCTACAGCTCTGTGTGTATGTGTGTGTGTGTGTGCTTAGAATTAATTGGGTCACGTAATTAGCAGCTTGTTTGTACGCTTTTTTTATACGTGTAGTCCTAGCCGTAGCCGAAATTTGATTATTTGCATTTAGTCAGTGAATTCCATTTCATTTTTTCCCAGCTTTTCCTTTTTTTGTGGCAGAGCTGGGCAACTTGTCACCCGAATTGTTTGCTAACCGAAATGTTTTCAAATCCCCAGTCGTCAATCTCACGAATTACATGACTCATTTCCTTTTTATTTTTTGCCCTGTGATTTTCCTGCTGCTGCTGCTGCTTCTTGTTCATTTCCAAATTTCCTGTTTCTCAGCCAGCCGAAGAGCGTGACAGCAATGCGAGATGTGCTAGGAGTCCTGCCTCTTAGCCAACAACTGTGTATATGTATGTGTTACTTAAATTAGATATATTGTATGTTTGCCATAGTAGATTCTTGTATGATCAGCAGTGGATGTCAGTCTTGGGGCAGTCGAGTGAATTATTAATGAGATCTACGAGATCAGTGGGAACGGGCTTGCCAACGCTCTCATTGCGCTCTTCGCTCTTCTATTACACACTGAGAAAGTCAGAGATAGAAGGAGAGAGAGAGAGAGAGATAGTTGTTTGCATGAACAGCCAGCAAAGCAAAGTTCTCGACTTTTCTCTAGCTCATTCAATACATTTCCACTTAAGCTAAACAAGCTAAATTTCACAGAGCATTTTTTATATATATGTTTGAAACAGGTTATACATATTCAAGATTTATTTT